TTTTTTTTTAAAAAAACAAGAGGTATAGCAAGAGAATACCTCTTACTTAATATTTTTTATTTTTTATTTTTTAAATATTCCTAAAAAAATTCAAAATTATCAAATTAAAATATATAAAAATAAAAATAAATTTTATTATAATTTTAAAACTCGAAGATTAATATTTTGAGAAAATATTTATTATTTTTTAATTAATATATGAGATCTTTTCATTTTTTATTTTTAGTTTACTTTATTTTTTTTGTTTGATTTACGTAGGTGTTTGGGTTAGTTTGTACATACCACGACTAATTTCACAATATTTGTTTAAAGAAACAAATAAAAATATATTTGTCTTGAAATAATTTTATAGCAAGAGAATACCTCTTACTTAATATTTTTTATTTTTTATTTTTTAAATATTCCTAAAAAAATTTAAAATTATCAAATTAAAATATATAAAAATTAAAATAATTTTTATTATAATTTTAAAACTTGACTTGTAGATTAATATTTTGAGAAAATATTTATTATTTTTTAATTAATATATGAGATCTTTTTATTTTTAGTTTATTTTATTTTTTTGTTTGGTTTATGTGAGTGTTTAGACCAGCTTATGCGCACCACGACTAATCGTACAGTCCACTAAACACCCTACAACACTAATAGATATATAAAACACGCGGAGTGACAAATATACACATAAAAACTCGAATTTAAAAACAGGAAAAAAAAACAAACTCCTCCCAACACTAAGCCAAGGCCGTCACTATCACTGCAATTTACCTTATTTTGTAATATTGGTCATGTTTGTATTTTCTAAGGAGGACTATCCAAGTCAATTGAAGAAATTCGACAGTCACATCTCTCTGTGAAACTTCCTGGCAAAACACTTGGTAATTTCTTGGCCATTACATATGTTTATTTTTTGTTTGTTGTTGCAACAAGTACAAAACTGAGTTTCTATACACCTTTAAGATTATTCAACACAATACTTGAATAATCTGTGAGTTGAGCCACCAGTTAAATCCCCTTCTCCTAGTTGAAGACTCTTCTCTTCACATTCTGAAACAGAAAAATGGTTGCCCATCTTTTGCTATTACTCTATCAACACCACCCCATCTTCACCATCTTCCTTGTCCTAGTCCTTGCATCAGCATCTTATGGCGAGGATGATAATAAAGATTACAGAGACTGCGAAAAGCATTTTAATTGTGGACTCTTATCAAACCTTTCTTATCCTTTCTGGGGAGGTGATCGACTTGAAGTTTGTGGACATAAAGGATTCAAGCTCAAGTGTGAAGAAGGTCAGCTCCCTATAATACCTAGTGACACACTAGAATTCTGCCTATCTCGTTTAGATCAATCTTCTGTAAAGCCATTTAATTAGGTGGCATAATTGATGGGATTTGAGTGGGAGATGAGTTGTAATTGGTGGAGTATGAGTGGAGGATGAATTGTTAGGCATATATTCCTCCTAAATTTATGACCATTATACCCTCACTCTTGCCTATAAATAGGCAATGCATTCACGCCTATATGCACACCAAAAAATAGAGAGAAGAAGAAGAGTGTGAAGAGTGAGTAATCCCACAAAATTGTGAGGTATTTGTGATAGAGTAAGTGAGGTGTTTTCTCCTAATAATAGAGAGAGTCTTAGTTGTTCTCCTATTATTAGAGAGAGGTTGTAATTCCCCCATTACTTAGTAAAATCCTTCTATACTTGTCTGTGGACGTAGCCCAATTGGGTGAACCACGTAAATTCTTGTGTGTTCCATTTCTCATTTTATCCGGTCTCTTATCTTTTATCTTGTCGGGTTTGCATGTCAGCATCCTAACAGTGGTATCAGAGCTTTTTGGTTGATGTTGTTAATACACAAAGTTATTCGTGCTTACGAGTACTATTCACCTATACGGCTCTATTCATCTATACGGTACTGTTCACGAAGGTTATTGTTGGCATATATAGAAAGTCAGTGCGGTGATTAAATACAGTCTAGGAAGTTCTGTCTAAGGAGATTGGGTTTTAAGCGGGACCGTTTGTGACCCCTCCAATCTTTCCTGGGAACTTACTTAGTGAAGTATTATTCACACGATACTATTTCTATATACGTTACAGATTTGTGAAACGGTGATAGCTGAATAGATCTTGGTGAATACAATGACAGCAAAGTACGAGATTGAGAGGTTTAATGGGAGCAATTTCTCATTGTGGAAAATGAGAATCAAGGCAATCTTAAGAAAAGACAATTGTTTGGCAGCAATTGGGGATCGGCCCGCGGAGATCACTGATAATACAAAATGGAATGAGATGGATGGCAATGCTATTGCTAACATACATTTAGCATTAGCCGATGAAGTATTATCAAGTGTGGCGGAAAAGAAAACAGCTAAGGAGATATGGGAGACTCTAACAAAGCTATACGAGTCCAAGTCTTTGCACAATAAGATTTTCTTAAAGCGGAGACTTTATACCCTTCGAATGGCAGAAACCACATCGGTGACTGACCATATCAACACAATAAGAACTCTATTTTCACAACTCACTACATTGGGTCAGCAAATAGAAGAAAATGAACGTGCAGAGCTTCTACTTCAAAGTCTTCCTGATTCGTATGATCAGCTCATTATCAACTTGATAAATAATATCCTCTCAGATTATCTAGTCTTCGATGATGTTGCAGCCGCTATCTTGGAAGAAGAAAATAGGCGCAAAAACAAAGGAGACAGAAATAGTTCAAACCAAGCAGAGGCATTGTTGGTGTCAAGAGAAAGATCAACGGAGCGTGGCTCTAGTGGGAGTCAAAGGCAGGGGAGGTCCAAATCAAGAAGTAAGAAGGCTGTGAAATGCTACAACTGTGGCAAAAAGGGGCACTTCAAAAAGGATTGTTGGTTTAAAAAGGGTATAGAGAATTCTGCAGAGTCATCAAAATCTCAAGGGTGTGTTGTGAGCACCTCAGAAGATGGAGATGTTTTATATAGTGAAGCAGCGATAATCTCTACAGATACAGAAGAGCTCACTGAGGTCTGGCTAATGGATTCAGGAGCAACATGGCATATGACTCCTAATCGAGATTGGTTCCATACATATAAACCTATCTCTAGAGGCAAAGTGTTCATGGGTGATAATCATGCTTTAGAGATTGTTGGCATTGGCACCATCAAATTGAAGATGTATGATGGCTTAATTCGTACTATTTCAGAAGTGCGACATGTGAAAGACTTAAAGAAGAATCTTTTGTCCATATGACAATTTGATAGTCTTGGCTGTAAGATCCGAACAGAAAATGGAATCATGAAAATCATCAAAGGAGCGCTGGTGGTTTTAAAGGCAAGAAAGACAGTTGCAAATGTATTTGCATTAATAGGATAAACACATTATGAGGTAGAAGCGTCAATCGCATCAGCCAGTCCTGCAGAAGAGAAGACGATGATGTGGCATCAAAAACTAGGTCACATGTCAGAAAAAGGTTTAAAGGTTCTCTCTGATCAGAAGTTACTCCCTGGGCTTACAAAGGTTACTTTACCTTTTTATGAGCACTGTGTTACAAGTAAACAACACAGGTTGAAGTTTGGCACATCTACAACTAAGAGCAAATGCATCTTAGACCTGATTCACTCTGATGTTTGGCAAGCACCGGTTGTATCCTTGGAAGGAGCAAGATACTTTGTATCATTCATAGATGACTTCTCTAGGAGATGTTGGGTGTATCCAATTAGAAGGAAGGCAGATGTGCTTATAGTCTTTAAAACTTTCAAAGTGCGGGTGGAACTTGAATCTGAAAAGAAGATCAAATGTTTGCCATGATATGTACAAGACCAGACATTGCACAAGCAGTGGGAGCAGTTAGTCGATACATGGCAAATCCTAGTAGAGAGCATTGGAATACTATTAAGAGGATCTTGAGATATATCAAGGGTACCTCAGATGCTGCATTATGTTATGGAGGATTAGAATTTACTATCAGAGGTTATGTTGATTCAGATTTTGCTGGTGACCTTGAGAAAAGAAAGTCCACTACAGGTTATGTGTTCATAATTGCAGGAGGAGCTGTGAGCTGGGTCTCTAAACTACAGACTGTTGTAGCGTTATCCACAACAGAAGCTGAGTACATGGCAGCTACACAAGCTTGTAAAGAAGCAATATGGATGAAGAAACTTATGAAGGAGCTCGGGCACAAACAAGAGAATATTCTTTTGTATTGTGATAGTCAAAGTGCCTTGCATATTGCAAGGAATCCAGCGTTTCATTCAAGAACAAAACACATCGATGTTCAGTATCACTTTGTTCGTGAAGTGGTGGAAGATGGAAGTGTGGATTTTCAAAAGATTCACACAAAGAAAAACCCAGCAGATGCTTTGACGAAACCGGTCAACACTGATAAGTATATATGGTGCAGATCCTCTTACGGCCTAGCAGAAACGTAAGCAGCATGAAGATGACAAGTATAGAAATGATAGAAGAATCACAAAAGATCAAGTGTGAAGACTTGATTAACTCATCAAAGTCTTCAAGTGGGAGAATGTAAAGCCATTTAATTAGGTGGCATAATTGATGAGATTTGAGTGGGAGATGAGTTGTAATTGGTGGAGTATGAGTGGAGGATGAGTTGTTAAGCATATATTCCTCCTAAATTTATGACCATTATACCCTCACTCTTGCCTATAAATAGGCAATGCATTCAAGCCTATATGCACACCAAAAAATAGAGAGAAGAAGAAGAGAGTGAAGAGAGAGTGATCCCACAAAATTATGAGGTATTTGTGATAGAGTAAGTGAAGTGATTTCTCCTAATAATAGAGAGATTCTTAGTTGTTCTCCTATTATGAAAGAGAGGTTGTAATTCCCACATTACTTAGTAAAATCCTTCTATACTTGTCTGTGGACGTAGCCCAATTGGGTGAACCACGTAAATTCTTGTGTGTTCCATTTCTCATTTTATCCGGTCTCTTATCTTTTATTTTGTCGGGTTTGCATGACAGCATGCTAACATCTTCCAGGTTGATGACTGCATAGGTTGATGACTCTGCAGCTAGTGAATTCCCAATATTATATTTGTCCTTCTCAAACTTTAGCCAATTCAAGTACTAAGAGTGACATCCATGTCTTCGGCTATGACCTCAACCTTAAAAACCTGAACTTGCTTTACAACTGCACGGTACCGAACTCGACGCTGGAGCAAAATAGAATTTCGAGTTTGTATTGTAGCAAATATAGTGGCAGATCATTCTATGGAAGTGATGATATCTTGGAGAGCAGTAGTGGGCTAGACCGAACCCAATGTAGCATAAGGTTCAAAATCCCCATTCCAGCTGAGTCTTTTCGTCGACTAACGGGTAACAGACCAGAATTGGAGCAAGTTCTAGGAGAAAAGTTTAACGTGTCGTACAAGTATGATCAAGGTCCTTCAATTTGCGATGGATGCATGGCTTCGAAAGGAATATGTGGAACCAACTTGACTGATCCCAATAGAGAGTTCTTGTGCCTTTGCCGTGACCATCCTTATTCTTTGGTTTGCAAAGGTCAGCTAAGTATGCCTTTTCCTTTTCTTTTTTGTATCCCTTCCCTGCTATATGTTTTATTATTCATTTCAGTGTGTTTCGTGTTATTTGTGTGGGTAATTAAGTTAAATTAGGGTTGATAATTAGGAAGGGGGCTTTATTCTTGTTCGGAACTCAAAATTAACTTTCCAATGGCATTAACACCGATTAGAAGGCCATTAACCCATCTATCATAGGAAAATTGTAAAGCAATAGCTTAGTCCCTCGATCGCTTACAACTCTGCAAGCTAGTCCTTCTAGTTTTTTTAATTAAATCTCTAGATTACCCTTTTTATTTTTTTAAAGAAATATTTTGGTTGACCCCACAAGAAGGCGAGCTTGAGTGTCGTATTAATGGAAAGTGATTTCCCCAAGTTTAGTTTGAACCTGTCAACGGTCCACAAAAGCAGCGCAAGTATCTTATTTCCTTACAATCCATCCTCTTTTGGATTAGAATTAGAGAAACTGGGAACAAGCATCGTTGCCAATTGCCATGCATATTCGGGGCTTGTTTTCTTCAAAAGCTCTGTCAATTTTCATGGCCATCTAGGCTTTTTTCCTTTTTTTATTCAAATGGTAGGCAAAATTGTTTGTTTATACTTTATTCAAAGTGAATGAAATATCCTAGAGGTAGCCTTGAGGGATCAACAATTATTTGCCACTTTTATTTTATTAATTTTTTAAGCATAAGCTATACGAGAGTGTTTTTGTTTTTCTTACCCAACCCCTGCTTGAATTTCCCTCTTTTTTATATTTCAAACAACTTTTTTTAAAAAATATCAATAAAAAACAGGTTAACCTTAATTTCCAACATGCACTTGATTTATTTGGAAGTCTCCTTTTCATTTCTATTTTATATTTTTATATATTTTTTAAATCATAATTTTTAATTCTTTCACAGTTTTCTTATTTATTTGATCTATTCACGAATTCACAAGAGTTGATTTTATATATTAGATATCATCATTTATTATGTCTTTTGTTGGTTTCTTAACTTGGCTATTTAGTTTTAGATTCGGTTTATTTTTTTGTTTTAAAAATATTTTTTAAAAAAATTAATTTTTTATTTTAAATTAATATTTTTTAGTATTTTTAAATTATTTTAATACACTAATATCAAAAATAAATTTTAAAAAATAAAAAATATTATTTTAATAAATAAAAAATACTTTAAAAAATAATCACAATAATACTTCCAAACATACACTTAAATTTTAACCAGCCCTATATCGTTTTCTCCACATTTTTGGTTCAACCAGCAAGTTTTCACACGTCCTCATCCTTTCATTTCTATTTCCCAATATGTCTCACCTAATTAATCTGCCCATAACTCTATTCACTATTTCTAATGTTTGCTGGGTTTAAGCTTGAAAACTTCAATTTTGCCCATCATGGCTCGGCTCAATTATCAAAGATCTTGTAACTAGTTTGTTTCTTTGATCTTGTCTGTGCCAAAGGAATATGTTGCTTTCGAGATTAACATGTTCAAAGGTTTAACATCTTGGATGTCAAGATAGCTTGGCATATGCTAAATGTTATCTTCAATGGTAGATTTTCGTTTGGCTTACTTCTTGTACAAATTCTATCATGAACTTGCTTTCTTTCAAAGATTTTCTGATATTTCTCTTAAATTTGCAAGAAAATATTGACAAACTCTATCAAATCAACATCCCAAGAGATTGTCCCTTTCTTTTCATTGAAGCCATGCCAATATTTTGTTAATGCTCCTCTTCAGATATTGGCAGTGGCTTTGAACAAACTATAATTATAGTGAGGTTTTGTTGAGGAGTCTCCTCATGAATTGAAGTGCAAAATATGGTGAGGTTTTGAAGATTTCTTAATAATCTTGAGTATTGTATTCTTTATTTCTTTAATAGTCTCCTCATGAATTAGTCTGCAAAGTGTTGTATTTTTTATTAATCAAGTCAAAATTAAAATCTTCTCGATCATCCTCATCAAGTTTTTTTTTTATCATTTCAATAAATATCTTCTTCAAAAGTACCTTATCATTGACCAAGTTTGTCATTTACTTTCTATTATAATTTGTTTGAAATGTAATAACACTCTTAAATAATACAATTACAATTTATATCCCTAAAACTTCCTTAATAGCACAATTCTGGTAATATAGTACTCTTTCATATTTCAAACTTCCAATTTCGTTTTCATTTATGACCCTAATTGGCAAGCACAAAACTACATTAAATACTTCAAAGCTGATAACAAGAATGAAAGAGAAAGGAACTAATTAGTTTCTTGGTACAATTATCAAATTTACCCCCATGATTTAATATATACAAAAATGAATTATTTGGATTAAAATTAGTACATAGAGAAAATTTAGGATTTGAGAAGTGGTGATTGCTGTGGAGGGTCTTCAAACCAAGAACAACTATTTTTTGTTCAGAGTTGCTTCTGAAGGCAAACTGTCCTCATCTTGCACTGATGCATCACTCATTATTTGTTCTCCAGGTCATAATCTGAAAGACAGGCGACGAATTACTGTTATCGGTAAGATAATCCCTTAACATATTTCTAATTTGTTTCCTTGGTCACTATTGGCATCTTTCCACTTCAATATCTTGTTAACGAAACTAGCATTCAGAATGCTCATCAGTTGATCTGTGAAGCCTTCAAATCATGATAATGAGTGGGATCAGTTTCTAACTTAAAATTTCTTTATTTAATGTCCCCGTGTTGTTTATCTCTACTTTGTCAGACAGGTTAGGCTAGAAAAAACATGTTTAAATAAGTATCATTTTGCAGTGCTTGTGCTTGGTCTACCATTAATTCTTTACCTTAGTTCTTAGTTTATATGTTGAAAGTTCACCTTTACCTCTAAAATTAACAATTTTAATTAAAATATCATTTTACTGCTTTTGCTGTTGTTTGTATATTGTGATAACATCACCTCCGCTAGTAATCCATCTCTTTCCTCAATTGACAGGTGTTGCCTCTGGATCAGTAGGAATTTTAATCATCTGTATCATTCTTTATTCTAGAAGGAAGGCCTCATCAATTGCTCTACCGATTTTTTTTAGAGAAGAAAGATGATGAAGATCTTGAGGATTTGATAAAAAATCATGTGCCTTTACCTCTGAAAAGATACAGTTTTTCAGATGTCAAGAAAATGACCAATTTTTTCAAAGAAAAACTTGGTCAAGGAGGTTATGGAACTGTATACAAAGGAAGGCTAACAGATGGCCATTTAGTGTCAGTGAAGGTCCTGGCAGCTTCAAAAGGGAATGGGGAAGAATACATAAATGAGGTAGCAAGTATTAGTAGAACTTCCCATGTTAATATTGTCACTCTCTTAGGATTTTGTTTGCAACGTGACAAAAGAGTTCTTATCTTCGACTTCATGCCTAATGGATCCTTAGAGAAGTTCATAAATCATGAAAATGCCTTTCAAGCCAGTCAACAACTAGGATGGGAAAAATTGTACCAAATTATAATCGGCATTGCTCGAGGGCTTGAGTATTTGCATCGAGAGTGCAATACAAGGATTGTGCATTTTGACATCAAATCTCATAACATTCTTCTCGACACTGATTTTTTCCCTAAGACATCTGATTTTGGACTTGCAAAGTGAAGCCCTGGGAAGGAGGGCAATGTATCATTAATGGAGGCAAGAGGAACCATTGGATATATAGCACCAAAAATGTTTAGTAGAAATTTTGGGCAAGTTTCATACAAGTCCGATGTTTATAGTTATGGAATGATGGTTCTGGAAATGGTTGGAGGCAAAAAGAATCATGAAGCTAAAATCACTTCTTGTAGCGAAAAATATTTTCCACAATGGATTTATAAGCATCTTGAGGTAGATGATGAATCTAGAATTAATGGGGAGCCTACTTCAGAAATTAATGGGGTGCCTACTTCAAAACAAGCTGACAGTGTGAGGAAAATAATAATAGTTGGCTTGTGGTGCATCTAGACAAATCCAGCTAATAGACCATCCAGGAGTAAAGTGTTAGAAATGTTGGAAGGACCTATTGGAGCATTAAAGATTCCACCAAGGCCTTTCCTGTCTTCTCCTCCAAGGTTAATTCCATATTCAACAACAACAACATCATTAACATAAAATTGTATCACTATAGTATGAAAAGAATGGTCTGTGTCTCATGAATTAACAAAGTAGCTTTATGTGATTCTGTGATCTATCCACAAAAATAAGAATAGACTCTGCTTTAATTATATATTTTATGGACAAATTTACAGCCACATGAGTAATGTCTAAAATCGCTTAGCTATATGCTTGATAGAGCTAGACATGGGACTAAATACCAAGTCAAGAATTCTATTGTTGCTTTAAGTGTATTGATATCAAATAGTTTTCTAAATTTTCTTATTTGCCAACATGCATACATCTAAAAATTTATGCTCTGAATTTCAGTACTGCCTTTTTTATTAATCAGGATGTCCTTTTCAATAGAATTTTCACAGTACAATCTATGTTGTAAATGTTAGATTTCTAGAAATGATAAATTTAAAAATTTTTAGGATTTTCAAGAATTTTGATAAATAAATTTAGAGTTATTTGAGGATTTATAAAAAAAATACTTGAAAATCATATATTATTTTTATTTTTTAATACTTGTTTTAAGATTAAGTTAGCATAAACCATGAATTATTAAAGTATTCCACCTATAAACTACTAAAGAGAAATCTCTTAAACTTTTTTAGAAGATGATGATTGTTATATCTTAAAATACTAATTTTTTTTTCTATACTATATTCTTCTCTTAGAAAATAAAAAAAATATAGCTTTTAAATTATAAAAAAAATTTAAAAACTCTATAAATAGTAAATCCTATGAAAGTGACGATATCTTGGAGAACAGTAGTGGGCTAGACCGAACCCAATGTAGCATAAGGTTCCAAATCCCCATTCCAGCTGAGTCTTTTCGTCGACTAACGGGTAACAGCCCAGAATTGGAGCAAGTTCTAGGAGAAGAGTTTAACGTGTCGTACAAGTATGATCAAGGTCCTTCAATTTGCGATGGATGTATAGCTTCGAAAGGAATATGTGGATCCACCTTGACTGATCCCAGTAGAGAGTTCTGGTGCCTTTGCCGTGACCAACCTCATCCTTCTGTGTGCAAAGGTCAGCTAAGTATGCCTTTTCCTTTTCTTCTTCTTCCCTGTTAATTATATGTTTTATTATTCATTTCAGTGTGTTTCGTGTTATTTGTGTGGGAATTTTGGGTAATTAGGGTTGATAATTAAGAAGAGGGCTTTGTTCTTGTTCGGAACTCAAAATTAACTTTCCAATGGTATTAATGACCGATTACAATCCCATTAACCCATTTACCGAAGGAAAATTATTAAGCAATAGTTTAGTCCCTCGATCGCTTACAATTCTGCAAGCTAGTCCTTCTAGTTTTTTTATTAAATCTCTGGATTACCTTTTTATTTGTTTTAAGAAACATTTTTTCTAAAATTATAGGTGTTGGGAAAGTTTGATTAGAAATGAAAGACATTTTTTTTAAAAAAATCAATTAAAAAACTAAATTACGAACAATAAAAATTCAATATTGAATTTTTTAAATGAAAGAAATTAACTGATTATGTAACTCAAACATAAAAATTCATTCTAATTGTTATCACAACAAGAATGATTGCAAAATTTTATTTCGAAACTTCAATGGGAGTTTGGTAAATTTTGTTCATGTTAAATCGTATGAGTTATATTGCTTATGAGGTCCTAATTAGGAGGACACAATCACAAAAGCCATTTCCAATTGTACAAGAACCGTTTGGGCTTGTAGGGTCAACCTTAACTAAACCAAATTCTATGTTTGAGATTATTCATATTTAATGACGCGTAGATATGCCTCCCATCTTGTCTGTAACCTTTGGCTGACCCCACAAGAAGGTGAGCTTGATGGTCTTATTAATGGAAAATGACTCCGCCCCAAGTCTCGTTTGAACCTGTCAGCGGTCCACAAAGCAGCGCAAATATCTTATTTCCTTACACTCCATCCTCTTTTGGATTAGAACTAGATTGATGGCTAATGTTCCTTCGATGGTCGGGTTAATTTCCTTATAGTTAAAAAAAAAAATGCTAAAATGTTATTATTATATTTTAAAAAGTGAAAAAAAGTCACAACTTGATATAATAGAAAGATAACTAAAAATAATAATTATATGTTATGAATCAAATTGTAAAATAATAAAAATATAAAAAACTTCATCAAAAAAATATTGAAAAACAAATCACTAATAAAATTAAGTGAAATCGTTAAAACCTATGAGTAATATCATATTAAACTTTAAATATAAAAAAATTATTGAATTGAAGTTAAGAATTAAAAAAAAATTCATAAAAGAATTTAAAACATAAAGAAAATAAACAAAATCAATTTTCAACTATTTCAATGATGATGAAAGAAATTTCTAGAAATAATTAAAAATAAATGAAGTGGACACGATCTAACCTTTAAAATTTGTAACACACATCATGAGGCCAAATCATAATATAAAAAACTAAATAAATAATATAACTATGTAAAATTATAAATCAACCAAAATAATTAAGGATAAATATGAAGAAATAAATTAAAAAACAATTTGCAAAATATAGATTTGAAAAGAAAATGAACTAAATTTGATAAAAAAAAAATCATTAATGATGAAATTGAAAAATAATTTTAATTAAGAAAACGATAAGAACAACTAAAAATAACAATAAAAAAAATAAAGATCATATTTGATATAAAAATAAAATGTTAAGGGATGAAATTCAAAGAAAAATTAATTCAATAAAGGATTCAAAAACAAAAATATCATAATTAAAAGAATGAGAATCAATCTAATATAAAAAAAAGTGTAAAGGGATGCAATTGAAAAAATAATTAACTTTATAAATGATCCAATACCAAATACATTACAATTAAAAAAATAAAGATCAAACCTGATATAAAAATAAATTATCAAGTGATAAAATTAAAAAAATAAATTAACTCAATAATTGATTCAAGATTAAATACATTACAATCAAAAAAATAAAAATTAAATTTAACTTAACAAACAAATAGCTAGACTTTTTTGTTTTCTTGCAATGGCCAACATGTTAATTTATATGGAGAGGGAAAAGAGAAAGAAAGGGAAAAAGTTCTTGTCGGTGCCCTTCCTTGTGATGCTTGCTAACACGCGCCTCACTATAATAACAGGGATGGTGAGGTGCATTGAATACCACCTCAGACAACGACATTCAACATTATATGGGTGTCTTACATGCCACTTGAAGTGAGCGAGCATGACTCATAACAAGTGCCAATAACTTTTTAAATTTAAAATTAATTTATAAATTTTAAAATACAAAATTTACCCTAGCCCTACATCAGAATTACCAAAAAACTATAGCAAAAAACCTAAAATGGTTTTTCATTTATAGTAGAAAGTTTATTTTTTTTTAGATACATATAAGTAATTGACACAAAAAAGAGAGTAAAAAACCCGAAAAGCCCCTAAATGAAAGATATTTTTATTAAGGATTATTTAGTAATTACACTATAAAAAACACATGAAATTAATAATTAATACCCTTCTTTAACATAATTACTAATAAGTTCTATAAAAAAGACCCATATACCTCTAATGCCACCCTTGCCCACCCAAAACAACATGAGCCTTTCGCTGTGAATTCATACGGTGAAAAGCTGATATTTTTGTTTATAGTTAAGAGAAACTGGGAATAAGCTGGTTGCCAATTGCCGTGCATACTCGGGGGTCCTTTTCTTCAAAAGCTATGTCAATTTCATGGCCATCTAGGCTTTTTTTCTTTTTTCTTTTTTTTTAATGAGAAAATAGTATGTTTTTACTTCATTCAAAGTGATTGAAATATCCAAGAGGTAGCCTGGAGGGGTCCACCAAATATTTGCCAATTTCTTTTTTTTTTCTTTTTTTGCATAAGCTAT